AGAAAATGGGTGAAAGTGCGAATAAAGGAGGTGTTTTTGAAAGAAAATTTGAAAACAGTGAGTAAAATCATTAAAAAAAAAATTTGGCCACATGAGACAACCCGAACAGTAGCCACGACGAGTCAGAACGCACCGCGTGGCGGACACACCAACATTGGCTCCACGCGGGAGGCCATGAGGACGATCCACATGTCTAAGCGATCTGACGGTCCAGATCGCATCTTACACGGACGAACAGTTCAGATGCATTCCCTCTTTAGACGCGATCAAATAGATGAGATTGATCGCGATAAACAGCCCAAATTCATCCACGCAATCAGCCTAAACAAGCAACAATCAGACGACTCTTGTCACTCTACGTCGACGTGGATGGACAGCCAGGATCAGAGAGAAGAGAGGTATTTAAGCCTCTCTTCAGTCAGCCCCCAAACCCTAGCCGACACCCAACCGGAGAAAAAGAAGAAGGAGGCGGTTGGAAGGAGGACCAGCTACCGGAGGGACGCCGTCGCCGTAGCACTAGAGCCACCACTGATCACTAAGAGAGGTAACATTTTTTCTTTCCCGCTCGAAATTTAATCACGAGTGCCCTATGCCAATATCGGAGCCAAAGGGTCGAGCGATGAGGCAAAAATTACGGACAAAACTCGGCTGAGCTGCTATAGCCAAAACCTAAAATCCTCTTCGATGACTCTCTTCCCTTTTCTCATTTCGCGTAATTTTTTTACCACTATATTCTCTGTTCTTTTCTTGTGCAGGTTAGCCGAAGGGGAACTTCAATTGTGAAGGAAGACCGGTGGAGCCACTGCACTTGAAGACCTTTTATTAGTAGGGTTTCGTTTTTTGTCTTTTCTAGCTAACTGAGGCCTCCTAACTGCATTTTTTTTGCAAGTCTATGTACAAAACAAGCCAAAACTTGTGTAAACCGGCCGAAACCGACCAGACTAAGGCAAATCATCGCCTTGAGCGGCAGAGCCGACGCTGGAGTATGACAGTGCCACCATGCTGGAACCATAAAATTGGCCATAAAGGTTTTAAAACGCCTATTTTGGACCTTTTGGGATATTTTTGAATACGTAACGGGTGTTTTAATTTTCACAAAAAAAATTTCAGAAAACTCGGGAACTGCTAGAAGATGCAGTGGAAAGTACGGTATTTCAGACACCAATATGATATAAGAATCTATCTCCATATTTTCTGTTACGGTAAATTGAGACTTAATAATCAATAATTCTATATTTTGTGAAAATTAGAAAATTCTAAAATTAATTATAGGTCATTAGTGGAGCCAGAACTAATCAGTGCATATTTGCCATAGTTTACTGCTTATTTTCTCATATACTACCTAGAATATTTACTATTATATTGTGTAACAGCCCCGAAAATTTAAAATGGAATTTATATTAAAAATATCAAATGCGGAAGCGAAGTCAAAAATTCGATTAACATCCCTTACACTAAAACCAAAAACGTGCTCACAATATAAAAGATCAAACTACTTAAAGGAGAAACTTGAAAGTAAAAGCTACAAATATGGCTATGGAGTCTTTAGGCGTCCCCTTCGTCGTCCTCCTGCGGAACTGGCTCGGGAACAAGGTCTTCCTGATCTGAAATGATTAAATAAGGAATGAGCTACACTAGCCCAGTAAAGACATCACGATATCTCACCGTCACGGAGGTAAAGGTGGGTAGAAAATACAAAAAAACCAATGGAGCATAATTTACAACAAAACCTTTTATCAATAATAAAACCTTTACCATTCACTTACCCAGTGAAATTCATAAGACAATATACGAAAACAATAACATCATTATCATCATGAAATCATATATAAACTGTATAACGTAATACTTATCAAGCCTTTCGAAATTCAATCGTTGACAATATATTTTCCTCATTTACCAGCCCACTAGTATCCATGGGGATCCATAGGGGTCCCGCTACCCGTTAACCCTTAACACTTGAAATCATATTCGAGGGTCATCCCTATACCCCGTCCGGTATGGGCGCCAAAACTATAAACCTCATTATCCCGTCCGGTATGAGGGTGAAACGGGCCGTCCCCATACCCCGTCCGGTATGGGCGCCAAAACACATAAGATCTTCATACTCCGTCCGGTATGGGAGACCACAATCCCGGTAGGGTTCCCTACGGACCCGGTCTGTCCACCATCTCCCAGGATATCTAATCAGGCTGACCACATTATATAATTACCCACTTACATAATCTTTCATTCTATTTTTCCTCAGTCAGCATCATCAATCACATACAAACAAGCAAAACGGTAATTTATGCCAAACAGACAACATACAATATCAATATCCCAATCATTCAATCCATAATCAGTAAAATAGTAAAATATACACACGAAACTATAAAATAAAAACATCAAACCTCATGCTGCATTTAAAACTGTAAAACAGGCCAAATAACAGTTAACCGACAAACACACTAGACTCGGGCTCCATTAGCGACCTTAAGCAATTTCACACATTCATTGATTCATGAAATACCGTTTTATAATTTATTGAACTTTAAAACCGTGATAGGAAATAGGGTGAGGGGTCCTTACTCGTTTCGGGGTCCGAACACGGCTTCACAGTGCGCTTGCAGGCTGTCCCTAATTTTCCCTGAATTTTTCCCCGGGGAACTGAAACGCACTACTGGTACCTGCACATGTTCTAAAAAATCCCAAATTAGGCCTAGGGCCCCTTTCGACCAATATCACAACTCCGGCACGGCGGCTCCGCCGTGCTCCGGCGACGGCGCCGCCGCTTGCAGCGGCGGTTCGCCTCGGGTTGGCCGTTTTCGGCCGAATTCGGCCACACTCGCATTGGTTCCTGCGATAAAACAACCCTACGGCCCTCGGGGGGCCGAAAATTTACGGAAAACCAAAGCTTACCGGCGGCGGTGCTCTCGGGTGCGGCGGCTCTCCGGTGAAGTTCGTGTTTTGGTGATTCGGCTCCAACCAACCTGTAGAGAAAAGAATGGTGATCACGATGATATAAAAATTGCATTAAACGGAGGCCGGGAAGGGCCCCATCGGAGGCAAAAACCGAGGAGGGGTGCGGCGGCGCCGCTGGCTTTCGGCCGTGTTTTTCGGCCGTTTAGCCGGGATTTTGGCTCCGATTTGGCCACTGGGGAAATCAGCGTGGAAAAACGAGTCGGGGGTATGAAATTTACCTCGATCAGCGGTCGGAAATCTCCCCGGTGCGGCGGCGGGTGGCGGCGGCCGGCTCTGGTTCGTCTTCTCCGGCGAGGGCAGGCGGCTAGGGTTTTGTGGTCTGGTGTGGGGGTTCTATTTATACCCTTTTGCCTTTTGATCTTAGCCGTCCATTTTGATTTAATCTGGGCCGTCCGTTTTTTATTAAATCTGGGTCGTCCGTGCGATTACATCTAGGCCGTCCGTGCGCGCGATTGATCTGGGCTGTCCGATTGCGTGCACGCGGATGGCCAACGTGGCCCGTCCCCGGTCGACGTGGTTTTGCCATGTGGCAGGTCCTGGTTGGCCAGGACTGCTGACTGGGTCTGCTGACGTGGCTGCTGACGAGGCGCGCGCGTTTTTTTTTTTTTTTTCTCTTCTTCTTCAATTTCCCGGGCGCTACATATTGTGTGCGTTAAATTGCTAATTTTAATTACTTTCTTGGTTATTCAGTTTATCTAATTGTATAGCCCTTATTTGTTGGCTCGTTTTGCAATAAATGTCCAAATTATGTTTTCTTGATTTATGTATCGTCTCTTTGCATGACCTATTGTTGATTTATAAATATGAGATATTTATATGTAATTTGGTGATGGATTGATGATATGAATCTATGTATGAAAAGCTTACGGGGTACTTTGAGAAAGGGTAGAAGGAACCGGTACATAGGAAAAATTCTACTGTGAACATCACATCAGTTGGACAAAACTGAGAAGTCCCATACCGGAAAGGTTGGGAGATATGATTCACCCTCATATCGGACGGTATATCGAGGTGATGGTAAGTTTGGCGTCCATTATCGGATGAGGTATGAGAATGACCGGTTAATTAACAAACTTAGATATTGGGTTCACGCATAGGGGAACATACTATGGGCCCCCAGAAGTACCGGTAAGCAAGTAAAAAGGTAAGTTATTGTTCTTACTCACTTGTATATTAAATCATGATATTATTTGAATAATTATCTTTATAGATCAATTTTAGAAACTTGTAACGGTAAGTATGGAATAAACAATTTTATGTTAAATGAATTTACCTAAATCAATGACTCCATTAATTGTTTTATGATTTTTTTTTACCAAAATTCGATTTTTTTATCAGTGATTAGTGTGGTATTCTTACTAATCTAGTGTAACTCACCCCCATGTTAATCATTTCATATCAAAAAGACAAAGATTCAGATCCTGAATAACATAAGGGTTGTGAATAAGATTACCTCTCGGACCCTATCAAAGTTATAAGTAGAGATTAACCCTATAAGACATTTATTTATTTGTTTTTAATTATTTCTTTTATTTCTTTCATGAACTGCTGTAAAAAAGACATTCCCGTAATTTTATTGGACATCCTAATTTACTGTATAAAAAATATAGATCCAAATTATTATTTGATTTTACTATTTTAATATATATTCATTTCTTTAAAGTTTTGAATTTTTACAAAATTAATAATAGATCTACTAACAGTAAAAAAATGGGAATCTTCATTACATACAAGCAAACACAATTAATATGCTATGTTTTTCTCTAATAGTTAGTTTGAAGAAGAAAAATTTATAATACTTATGTCAACATATTTTAAGTGCTGTATAATATTATAATACTGTAGGTCTTCCCCTTTTATCACTTTTCAAAAAGATGACTTTTAATAAAGATAAGAGATATATTGATAACATGAGTCATCACACTAGGGTTATTGCGATCATATGATATATCCAATTTAATTATATTAAAAATTATAATTTAATCCATTGCAAAAAATTATAAAATTCAATCAAAAACATTTAAGAGTATGGGACAGAATTTCCAGCACGTAAGCATCGGTGCATAAACAAAGGTATACCACCACTTGCATATTATTAAATGATATTTGTTCCCATTCCATCCTAGTTCTTCCAGTGTCATCCTCTCACAGCCTCACTCTCAACATCACGAACCCCAAGAGCTCCAAGACCCACCATGGAAACAACTCCACAGACACCAACACCGCTAGTAGCTATGGTGGCTACTCCAGGCATGGGCCACCTTATTCCACTCGTTGAGTTGGCCAAACGACTCGTCTCGAACCACAACCTTCAAGTAACTCTCATCATACCCAATGACGGAACACCCATGGATTCCTCAAACCAACTCCTTAAAACCCTACCCGCATCCATTTCTTCCATCCTTCTCCCTCTTATCAGCTTCCACGACTTGCCTGAGGGTACCAAGATCGAGAATCGGATCGCACTCAGTGTGACTCGCTCCATGCCAGCTCTCAGGGACTCGCTCAAGGTCCTAACTGAATCAACTCGGCTACTGGCGGTGGTCGCTGACCTTTTTGCCACAGAAACGTTTTCTGTAGCAGAGGAGTTCGGTCTCACCCCATACTTATTTTTCCCTACAAACGCTATGGTACTCTCTCTGATTTTTCATTTACCAAAGCTTGATGAGACATACTTGTGCGAGTACAGAGATATACCGGAACCGATTAAGTTACCCGGTTGCTTTCCAGTTCATGGTAGAGATTTTCCAAGCTCGGTTCAAGACAGAAATGACATGGCCTACAAAAGGATTGTTCACAGAGCCAAACAGTATCGACAACCTGCTGGGATTATAGTAAATAGCTTCGTGGATTTAGAACCGGGTGCTTTTGAAGCCTTGATGCGAGGTGAACCGGGTTTACCTCCGATATACCCAGTTGGACCGGTTGTAAAAACCGGTTCGAGATTAATCGAACCAACGGATGAGTCTGGATGCGTCCATTGGTTGGACAACCAACCAAGTGGGTCTGTGATTTTTGTTTGTTTTGGTAGTGGCGGTACCCTCTCACAGGAGCAATTGAACGAGGTAGCATTTGGTTTGGAAATGAGCGGACAAAGATTCATTTGGGTCGTGAGAATTCCGGACGAGAAAGCCGCGAATGCTGCTTATTTCGGTTTTCAAACCAGAGACCCACTAGAGTTTTTGCCCGATGGATTCTTGGATCGAACCAGAGGGTTAGGGTTAGTGGTGCGACGGTGGGCTCCTCAGATTGAAGTGCTGCGCCATGTGTCCACCGGTGGGTTCGTGACGCACTGCGGGTGGAATTCAACGTTGGAGGGGATTGTGAATGGGGTGCCGTTGATCGCATGGCCGCTGTACGCAGAGCAAAGGATGAATGCGGTGCTGGTGGCGGATGATTTGAAGATTGGGATTAGGGTTAAAGGGAATGAAAATGGGTTAGTGGGGCGTGAGGAAATTGTAGAGTACGCGAAGAGATTAATTGAAGGAGAAGAAGGGAAAATGATTAGGGAGAGAATGAGGCAAGTGAAGGAGGCTGCGTCAAGAGCTTTGAGTAAAGATGGGTCATCTGCCAATTCTCTTGCCAAACTTGTAGAAATCTGGAAATCAAAAGACAAAAAATGTTAAACTTTAAAAATCAATTATTATAATAATTGAAGTTTGGTTTTTTTTTTTTTTTTTTTAATTATGATTTAGTTTTGAATATTTTTTATTTATTTTAAACATTAAATTTCTTCCATTTCTTTGCAGAAAGTTAAAGCAATTAGATCATGTTTACATGTTTTAAAAAATATTTCAAGAGAATGATCTTATTTAATTCATTAAATTAATAATATTAAACATTTTTAATTTTAGTTAAATAAATAAGTTCATTTTTTGAAATTGTTTTTGAAATATTCTAAATAAATGAACCATATCAAATTTTTTCCATCAAGATTAGAAAGAAAATACATGTTTTAAACGAATGACAAGTATAGGGAAACTGAGTTATAACAAAAAAAAATTAAGATTAAATTATAATAAATATCACAATTTGAAAACTAATTTAATAGTTTACCTAAAAGAAAGTAATAGACCCTCTTGTAATTATGCTCAAATTTTAAAGACAGCTTGTTTTAAGATTAATTAAATATAAAATATAAATTTATAAATACTAATAGAAAATATGGTGTTTTCTGCCATGAAAGGAAAATAAAACAAATCAATATATTTATTTTTCTAACAATAAATTAATAGTTTATTTCATTTAAAAATAAGAATAATAGTGGTGAGTACAACCCTTCTAACATCTTTCACCCTCCTTTCATCACCCAAACCACTTTAAAGCTTCAATTCTTCACTAGGTTGCTTCACTCCTCAAGGTTAGCTTACCCTTTTAAGGCATCTAAACTTATAAGATATCTCGCTTCTTGTTATAAATTTGTCTTTAAAGTAATATGGTGTAATAAGATATGTGTACTGACCTCCATTGACTAGAAGGAATAACTTTGGCCAAAAATTTTCCTATGAATGAATACTTAGGTCTCATATATGCATCCATATTATCTAAGTCTTTACCATTTTCTTTCTCTCTCTCATTAACTGACTTGAGATTACTGTTGTCAGATTTAAAGACTAAATAATATTCTATTAACAATAGTGAATATTTATATAAGAGTGCTGTAACACCCTAAATTATTTTTTTTGTAATTTATGGTTTAATTATAAATATAAATTCTTAATTTTTTCAATTTTTTAATTTTAATTTAGAGTAAAAATGAAGTAAAATTGATTGACAATTAAATTGAAAATAATTTTGGGGAAAATTTGTGAAAATTTAGGTTTTAGGAGTATTTTTGAAAAAAAATCAGAGACAGGGGTTAAAATACAATTTAGAAAAGTTCTGTCACGTGGGACGCCTAGTCAGCAGCTCCGATCAATTAGGACGCGTTGCGTGGCAGCGGACACTGACGCGGTGCCACGCGGGAGATCTGCGTGACCGCAATCGAATGACCCAAATCTGCTCCCGCACGCACGGACGACCCAAATGCATTCCCTCCCCAAACACGATCGGACGGCTAGATTTGAACGCTATCAGACGATCCAAATTAGATCGCTATGGACGGCGCAGATTGGATTGCGATGAATGACCCAAATTCACTCTCTATTTAATCGCGATCGGACTGTCCATATCAAATGCGATGGACAACCCAGATTAAAAGTGGACGGATATAAATAACTCCAATTCGCACCAAACTCTAATGCTAGCCACCAGAAACCCTCACCAAAGAAGAAGACTCGGTCGTCGGGAAGGACGATGCCCCCACCATCATCGCACCGGAGCTTTTTCCGACCGCCAAAAAAGGTGAAAAAAAATTTTTTTGCTCGAAATTCAATTTTAAGCACACCCATGGCCAAATCAGAGCAAAAAGACCACCCAATTGGCCGAAAAATACCGGCAAAGCCTGGCGGTGCCGCCACAGAGAATTTCACAAAACGCCTCTGATGAGGCCCTTCTCGATTACCGTTTTGTGTAATTTTTTACCGTTGTGATCACCGTATCCTTCTCTACAGGTTGACCGGAGCAAAACACCCGACTGCAACGTGAGTCGGGGGAGCCGCCGCACCGAAAGGCTTTACCACTAGGGAGTTTCGGTTTTTTGTATTTTTTCAGCTAACCAATGCCCTTTAATGTGTTTTCTTACAGAGATCGATACAGAATTGGCTGAATTTGGCCGAAAACAGTCGACTCGAGCCGCACCGCCGCTGCGGGTGGAGGCACCGACGCCGGAGCACGACGGAGCTGTCGTGTTATAATTCCAAAATTGGTCAAGCGGACCCTATGACTGATTTTGGGTTTGTTTGGGGCATTTGTAGGTACTATTAACGCATTTTAATTCTTGAAAAAAAAAAATTTAGGGAACCTGGGAATCACTCGTAGGCGCAGTTGAACAGCTTGGTTTTTCGGGCAACAAATCGAGTAAGGATCCCTCACCCTATTCCCTATCATAGAATTGAAGTCTAAATAAATAATAATATGATATTTTGTGTGAATTTAGGAAATGTGCATAATTAATTATGGATTACTAATAGAGCCAGAACTAAAAATTATCTACTAGTGTTTGTTGATTGTTTTTACAGTTTATATGCATGATGGTATGTTATTAATTGATTTTATGGTTTTGAATGCATGTATAGTTTATTCTATGTGTTTACTACTGAATCAAGAAAAATGAAGGTTAAACGGTAAAAATTGTGTGATGAAATGAATGGATGAAACGGCAGCCTTACTAGATATCATAGGAGATAGTAGATAGACCAGGTACATAGGGAACTCTACCGTGAACGTTGTCTCATACCAGACGGGGTATGGAGACTTGATAATTTGGCGCTCATACCGGACAAGATATGGGGATGACCTGCTTCACCTTTATACCGGACGGGGTATCAAGGTTTGGTAAATTGGCGCTCTTACCGGACGGGGTATGGGAACGACCCATAATTGAGAATGTTAAATGAAAAGGTTCACGTATAGCAGAGACATCCTTATGAACCTCCATGGATACCAGCAGGCTAGTAAAAAAAGTAACAATTATTGTTTGATTTATTGATGATGGACATAGATTCATAATATGTGCTATGATTGGTGATTATTCATGGAATCATGATCTGTATAATATTATTGTCTGTATAAGTTGTTTTTATAAATTCCACTACGGTATGTGAATGATAAATGATTTTTATTATTAATAAATAAATTTGCTAAATTTAATGCTCCATTAGTATTTTTTTTTTATACTAACTTTTACTTTTGTGTCGGTGATATAGTGTGTAACGACCCCGGAAATGTGAAAATGAAATGAGTATTTAAACATATAAAATGCGGAAGTGAAACTAACTAACTAAAAGAGAAACTCGAAGATAAAACTATGAGTATGACTACAGAATCTCTAGGCATCCCCTTCGTCGTCCTCCTGCGGAACGGGCTCGGGAACCATGTCTTCCTGATCTGAAATGGTTAAATAAGGAGTGAGCTACACTAGCCCAGTAAGAACATCACGATATCTCACCGTCACGGAGGTAAAGGTGGGTAGAAAAACACAAAAGACCAACGGAGCATGATTTACAACAAATCATTTTATTCATGATAAAACCTTTACCATCCACTTACCTCGATAGAATTCATGAAACAATATAAGAAAACAATAACATTATCACAATCATGGAATAATATAAGCTGTAAAACATAGCACTTATCACGCCTTTTGTAATTCAATCATTATACCACATATCCTTTTCTCATTTACCAGCCTACTAGTATCCATGGGGGTCCATAGGGGTCCCGCTACCCGTTAACCTTTAACATTCATAATCAGTTTCCAGGGCCGTCCCCATACCCCGTCCGGTATGGGCGCCAAAACCATAAACCTCAATACCCCGTCCGGTATGAGGGTGAAACGGGCCGTCCCCATACCTCGTCTGGTATGGGCGCCAAAATCATAAACCTCAATACCCCGTCCGGTATGAGGGTGAAACGGGCCGTCCCCATACCCCGTCCGGTATGGGCGCCAAAACCATGAGATCTCCATACCCCGTCCGGCATGTGAGACCACAATCCCGGTAGGGTTCCCTACGGACCCGGTCCGTCCACCATCTCCCAAGATATCTAGTCAGGCTGACCCCATCATACAATTATCAGTCTACACAATCTTTCATTTTCCTTTTCCTCAATAAGCATCATCAATTCATATTTAAACAAGCAAATCGTAATTCATGCCAAACAGACAACATATAGTATCAGTTCTTCAGTCTTTCAACACATAATTAATAAAAAAGTAATATATGCACTCGAAACTATAAAATGAACACATCAAACCTCATAATGCATTTAAAGCTGTAAAACAGGCCAAATAACAGTAAATCATCAATCACACTAGACTCGGGCTCCATTAGCAACCTTAAGCAATTTCACACATGCGTTAATTCAAGAGATACCGTTTTATCATTTTGAACTTTAATACCGTGATAGGAAATAGGGTGAGGGGTCCTTACTTGTTTTCGGGATCCGAATACGATTCACAGTGCGCCTACAGGCCGTCCCTAATTTTCCCTGAATTTTTCCCGGGGAACTGAAACACACTAACGGTACCTGCACGTGTTCCAAAAAATCTCAAATTAGGCTCAGGGCCCCTTTTTGGCCAATATCGCAACTCCGGCACGGCGGCTCCGCCGTGCTCAGGCGATTCGCCTCGGGTTGGCTGTTTTCGGCCGTTTCCGGCCGAATTCGGCCACACTCGCATCGGTCCCTGCGAGAAAACAACCCTAGGGCCCTCGGGGGGCCAAAAAATCACGGAGAAGCGGAGCTTACCGGCGGCGGCGCTCTCGGGTGCGGCGGCTCTCCAGCGAGGTTCGTGGTTTGGTGATTCGGCTCTGGTCAACCTGTAGAGAAAAGAATGGTGATCACGGTGATATAAAAATTGCATCAAACGGAGGCCGGGAAGGGCCTCGTCGGAGGCAAAAACCGAGAGGGGGCGCGGCGGCGCCGCTGGTCTTCGACCGCGTATTCCGGCCGTTTGGCCGGGATTTTGGCTTCGATTTGGCCATAGGAGGAATCAGCGTGGAAAAATGAGTCGGGGGTATGAAATTTACCTCGATCGGCGGTCGAAAATTTCCCCGGTGCGGCGGCGGGTGGC